CATCTTTACTTGTTCCCAAACGGTTTTACCAACCTTTACAAAAAAAAAAAACCTCAAAACCTTGCTTTGTTTAAAATAAATAAATTTTTATTTTTTTTTACTATTTTTACTATTTTTAATAAAAAATAAATAAATATACAGAAAAGTAAAAATGATGCAAAAAAAAAGAGAGAGAGAAAGAGAGAGAATAAAAAAAAGAGATGCGTCAACAATTATTGAATTTATCTCCCTTCTCTCTCCTCCCCTTTCTACAAAGTTTAAGCGAACGGATGGTCAAATGACCCTCAAATTTCCGGTACACGCGAGAGACACACACACACACACACACCGGTTATCATAGAGAACAGATTTAGAACGGAAAAATAAAAAAAAAAAAAAAAAAAAAAACAAAAAAAGGGGTAATCCTCCATCCAGTTTGAAAAGTAATAACATGCAAAATCTTCATTAACAATTCAGTAACGTTCTTTCTATTCGTATATATATTTATATATATATATATTTTTTTTCTACCCTTATTTGTTTCCCCGCCTTTACTTTTTTTTTCCTTTTACTAAAGCCACGTAAATTCTTTTTAAAACTTTTGCGTTTAGTATACCGTCTGCTTCCACTTTTCAATTCTCTCATCACACGCGACACTCAAAAACTACATACTTCAAAATATGCGTGAGACAAATGATGGGTTAAAACTTTGTGACACACTTTTTTTTTTTTTTTTTTTTGTCTTAATTAATAAGAAAAAACGTAAATAAAAATTATTTTATTTATAATAAAACGTCTATTATTTATTTATTTTTAAAAAAATCATGAAAATTATTTATAGTCGGCGGTGAATGAAAGTTTTTTTTTTTTTTTTTTTGTTTACATCGTATAATTTTTCGCGCCAAAAAAAAGGAATTTAATGACACGTAATTAACAAAATGATTCTCAGGTGATATTAATTTAAACGCTTTCTTAAAATCGAAAAAAAAAAAAAAAAAAAAAAAAAACAAAAAATTGAAAAACGTAAGTAAGTAAGAAAAGTTTTAATGGTTTATTTTATTAGGGAAAATTTAAAATTTTTTGATGATAACAAAAAATTTTTATTTAAAACATTTATTTTAACCGGGTAAAGGAAAGTTTTACAAGGTGAAAATTTACCGGGAAAACTTTTTAATGGAAGAGCCAAATATAAGGCCGATTTATCTGAATCTATGCATAACAAATTAAAGTTTGAAAGGTTTACGGGCAGTACAGAAAAACATCTCTCTCTCTCTCTCTCTCTCTCTTTCACTTACTCCTCCTTTCCGCTACTCCTTTATACCCCTCCCCTCCCCCTTTCTTTCTCTCTTTTTGCTTGTTTCTCATCTTTTTACCTCTCCTCCATCTCTCTCTCTCTCTCTACATGTATACATACGCGCACGCACGCACGCACGCACGTACACACACATACACCATACACGGTTTCATTTCTCTCCATCTGTACACCCTTCAGCTTATTATAATAAAAGATAATCTCTATGAAGTTGGGATGGCAATCCTGAGGGATAGAGTTTAACGCATATTGTAAAAGGATCATAAAATTCCGACAATTCCACCAGGGGATGAAAACAAGGGTGTATATTAATCCTCCCTCTAAAATAAGAAGGTGGGGTAATTTAACGGGGCATAGATAAACCTCCCAAGAGTGTTTCAAAAGTGAAAAGGAGGATCTTTGGGTCTCTCTCTCTCTCTTAGCATTTTCAAATTGTTCTTTTATTAAAAATCAAATGAAAATGCACTTGATTTGGATTATTATTATTATTATTATTATTATTTATTTTTTTTTATTTTTTTTTTTCTATTCAATTTATCTACTTACTACTCTTTTGTGTTTAAATAATAATAATAATAATAATAAAATTTTTTTAGTGTTTCACTAATGGATAAACTTTCATTTGATGATGATGATGGTGATGATGGTGATGATGATGATGATGATGGTAGTTGTGGTGGTGGTGGTACAAAATGGTGGTACTTTTTCTTATTTTCTTTTTCACAAACAATGTTGTTTATTTGTTATGTTTAAAGTAAAAAATAACCTAATCACATACAAATCTTTAATCTATGTCACATTTGATAGTAAAACTATCATTCTTCTGCTATATTTATTCAAATTAATAATATAAAATAATAATAATAATAATAATAATAATAATAATTTGACCCCAGTAAAATTTAATATAAAAAAAATAAGTTTAAAATTGTAAACATCATTTGTTTTTATTTGATTTAAATTTTTCTCTTTTTTATCTTTTCCTTTTTTCCTTTTTTCTTTTTCCTTTTTTTTTTTTTGTTTTAATTAAAAACAGAATTTTAAAATAGTTAATAGTAAAATGTTTGAAAAGTGATTTTTACTACTCAACACGTCACACACATGTTGTTGAGAACAAATAATCTCTCTTGGGATTTTTATCTTTTTTTTTTTTTTTTTTTGTCCATCTCACAAAAAGGTTTTTATATCATCATATACACATACGCACATTTTTTACTAATGCAAATACAACACTAAAAAGTTTAGTTAGTTTAACCATTTTTCATTTCAAAACCTATTTACCCACAAATTTAAAAAAAAAAAAAAAAAGGTAAACAAGATTTAACAAAAAAAAAAAAATGAAGAAAAGATAGTTTGGAAGTGAGTGTGAAGAGTTTAAAAAAAAAAAAAAGGAAAAGGAAAGAAGAAAGGAAAAAAGGATGAAAAAAAAAAAAATAATAATGAATAAATCTTGTCATTCTTTGTTGAAAATCCCTTGCCCTTTGACCCATGGGTTAAAAAGAGAAAAAATTTTTCACTTCAAAGTTTTCTCTTTTTATTTTCTCAATGTTTCTTTTTTTTTTTTCTTTTTCCACGTCAACTATTAAATTGTTTGAAATATTTATCAGATCTTCTCATTACGGTTTTTTTCCTCATGAAAATTTTATGAATTAAAAACAAAAAAAGAAAAATTTTTTTTTTAACTTAAACCTAAACTTGTAAGACAATCACTGCAGTCAAAATGGCTGACATATTTATTTGTTGTCAATTTTATTATTAATTTTTTTTTGAGAGAGAAACCTTTTCTTTTTTTACTTTTTACTTTTGTTTTATTTTCAATCACACACAATACAACAAATTAAATAGAATAAAATGAAAAGAGACAGAAAAAGTTTTTTTTACAAAAAGAAAATCAATTATTTGTAAAAATTGACAATAATAAAAAAAATTTATTTATTAGTTTTTTTTTTTTTTTTAAATAAAATAAATCAATTATTAATTAATTTTTAAAAAATATATGGATCTAGTTGAACTTATTTTAACAGAAAAAAAAAAGTGTGTGACATAACAAAAAAAAAGTTTTTTGTTTAAAAAAAAAAAAAAAATAAAGAAAGGGAGTGAAAATATACACTTGAATGGAGGAAAGGGAGGGAGAGGGAAAGGGGAGGAGAGGGAGGGATTCGTTAGCTTGACACAAAAGGGATTTCTACTCAAGTGTTGACACTGATCACTTAAGTTTTCTACCTTTTTTTTTTTTCTGAACCTTTTCAATTCATGATGAGAAAAATAGAAGTGGTGTTAAGTGAGTGACATTTCATTGCAAAATTTCCTTTTTTTTTTGTTTTGTTTTGTTTTAAGCTTTAAGATTTTTAAAAAAATGGCACACACATACACACATACAGGCACACATACACACCACACACATACAGACACACATACACACCACACACATACAGACACACATACACACCACACACATACAGACACACATACACACCACACACATACAGGCACACATACACACCACACACATACAGACACACATACAGGCACACATACACACCACACACATACAGACACACATACACACCACACACATACAGGCACACATAC